TTGTATATTGAGGCTTGAAGATGCTCAAATAGATGATATTTTTGATGCGTGTGTTGATGAAGACTGAAATCCAATGAAAATAAAAAGCAGAAATTATCCTGACCTTACCTTCCCTACTAACCTTCAACCTCCAACCTATCAGCCTACAAACCACCGTTCAGACTTCATCTACACGCAGGTTTAACATTTTATGATAAAGTAAAAAATGCTCAGTTTGTAATCCAATGTCTTTCAAAACCAATTGGCCTTTTTGGCCTTGCAAATGGTAAACGGAGAGAAAGAGAGAGAGAGAGAGAGAGAGAGAGAGAGAGAGAGAGAGAGAGAGAGAGAGAGAGAGAGAGAGAGAGAGAGAGAGAGAGAGAGAGAGAGAGAGAGAGAGAGAGAGTTACCTAACTCTATCATGTACAAACTGTTTTGAGAAAATAGCACTGTGTTTTATCCTGGCTTCATGACTCTCTAACGCCCCTTGAAACACCTGCTTGTTTTCTGACAATTGGTGATACAGAGAGGGGGTCTGCATTAATGTCCAATTATGGTCATTTAGGATCAATTTTTGGTGCCCTCGTTTGATATTATTCCATCAGCCTTAGTTTGCCCAACTGACATGCGCTGAATTTGTCGCATGTGACGTTACACCTGACGTGCGCCTAAATTTTAGGTGGAACCCTGCCACTACGCCAAATATAAGTTATGGCATGATCACTGCTCAGTTGCGCAGGTTCACCAGAACAGCTTCATGGGTGCAAAATGACCACCGCAGCGCCCGTAAACCCTAATAAACAAACAAGCAAACATCAGTTGCGCAGTTAATGCCAATTTTTACAATTTTGATTGTCTACATTATGTATTGATATTGTTTGGTCTTTTCAGGACTCGTGGCGCTGCTCGCCTCCTCGCCAATGCGAATGCGTTCTCTGAGGACAACCCGCCCAAGGCTACCATGGCGAAGCCACGCCACCGCGCCGGCTATAGACTCACGGCCTGAAGCGAGTTTGGGCGCGACGGCTGGCGAGCCAAGGCGGCGGAAAGTCGTCTGGCGGAGCTCCCGTCTGAGGCGAGCTTGATCTGGTCAGACAGCTCCGCCACCGATGGTGTGCTAGATGGAGGAGGAGGGGCCACCCCCCCCCCCCGAACCGCGACATCCGAGAGGTGCGTGTCGCGGCAGGCGCCCTCTGCTCTAGCACGCGCGGCGAGCTATTCGCCCTAAGAGCGGTGTTGGAGGAGCTGGCCGGACGGATGGTACCGGTCGATATGGGTCGACCGCCGTCTATCCCAACGGTAGCGCCAATCGACGCGGGCACTATCTACAAGGCAGGCGCGCGCGCGCGACAGGCGCGCCACGGCAGGCGCGCGCGCGACGCTGCGCGCGCCTGGCAGCGGAACTGGCCGGACGGATGGTACCGGTCGATATGGGTCGACCGCTGTCCTGGCTCCGTCCTGGAGGCCGACCGTGCAGTCGCTATCGACATCCGCCAGTACCTGCTCTGCATCGGCCGCCTCCCGAGGCCGGATGCCCACAATGCAACGACGTGGAGTGCCCTGCTGCCCGATGCCGCGTCTGCCGCGAAGAGGCTGGCACTCCACGGTATGTGCTGCTGCGATGCGCGGCGCTGGCGGTGTTGCGACAAAGAGCCTCGGCAGCTGAACTGCTTCAAGCGACGTAACGATATCTGCCCTCCCCTCCCCTATCGAGCCGCGTGGGTGTGGACGGACGGGTCGGCAGACGCGAGAACCTGCAGCGAAGGAGCTGGGGTCTACGGGGAGTAGCAGCACGAATGGACTGATGAGCCGCGTGTCCCGGCCGGTCCATTCTGCTGTTCCAGCTCCAGGACCGGCCGCGCCGTCGCCACCCGTCCGGCGTCAGTGGAGGACCGCTCATCAGCTGTCGATTTTCATCAGTTTCGTTTGGATCACTGATCGGGCTCCTGCCAGTGCCGACATTGGGTTGGGCGGAGTCCTACCGATGAATGCCGCGAGTGCTGCAACATTGGCTCGGTACATCTCGGTACATTTTCCCGAGTCTGGTGTGGCTACGGGGAGACGGATTTGGTGACCCTGGCTGCCGCCGTGAGAACCATCCAGAACCGTACGGCTATGCTGCGGCAGCGGCTGAAAGGAACGCAACAACAATAACTACAACAGCAGCTGCTAATGAAAGGGGAAATCATGGAGCCGGATGACCCGGCACATGGCGCTCAGCCAGCTGAGAATGAGAGCCGCTATCAAATCGCCAGCAGGGTGCTGCGGCTGGTAACTGACGACCTTGGTAGAGAGAGCGCCTCCGCTGATGCGGATGAAACTACCCCCTCTCGGGTTTGTTTGACGCCGTCTCCGTCGACTCTTTCGCCTGGGCCGGCTGGCGACCGCGACATTTCTTGTGCAGTGACTCGTAACTATGTTCACCAAACTTTTAAAACTCCTCACGTTAGCATCTTTAAAGAATGTTTCCCTTGTACACTGCTGCAATGTCTTATGTAGGCATATTGTAGGTACAGTCTAAACGAGTGTGGAATGCTTTGTTGTGCTTGTTCTGTATTTCGTTTGCTATTTATCACGGTGACTATAATTTATTTTGACCAACCCTTGCCTTGTTACAATTTTAGTGGATGGTTTCTGAACTGCTGTTTGCATTATAGATGTTGCTAGTGCGTAGACGCCAAAGATTACTTTATACCTATTGACGCGCCAGATAAAGGAGGTGAAGTATTCCTCTGATCTATACCTACGAAATTCCTTTATGTGTGTTTTGTAATCGATATTGGCGGTTTTCTTATGTGATGCGGTGTAGAGCGTGGCTGAGGAAGGCGATGTTTAAAGTTGCTAGTTATTTTTCAATACATCTATGATCGGACTGTCGTGCTTGCTGTAGGTCGGACTTCCGTTCTTGATGGTGATTGGACGCACGTGCCGGTAGTTCACAACAATGCGGCTTTCGATTATAGTATAGATTTAGATACTTTTAAAGTGTTTGTATGCGTAGTCCTGAGTTTCGAGATATTATCCTTGCGGGCTCCTTGCCAACAGATTGTCCACTTCTGTGTCCAGTACTCATCCCACTCACGAGGCTCAGTTGTGTTTGCCAACCCCTATACGGAAACATTGGCCAGATAACTGACTACTACGAAATTTTAAGAAGCGTGGGCAGTAGGGCATAACGAACGGTCCTCAGGTTCAGTAGCCGCGGAGCACCTTCAATTAAGGGGGGGGGGGCACCGCCGACTTTTGGTCCCATTCTCTCCATGCAGCGCCCATAGGGCTAATGTTAAAATGCCAAAATCAAAGGGGGGCACGGTGCCCCGGTGCCCTCCCCGTTCCGCCGCCTATGCTCAGGTTATTTCTGACCTGACAGGCTCAGGGAGGATTGCTCTTTGTTGTTTTTCTCCGATGAACCCTCTTGCTGCACACTAGCTGATCCAAAGGATGGAAGGGACGGGGGGGGGGGGGGTGCAGACGTAAGGAAAAAGAAGACAATGTTCTTTCCCTAGCGCACGAAATCAATTCTTAAATGAAAATAAAACGAATAAGCTTCCGTTAAGAAGCCCCCGTTCCGTATCTTCCGTTCCATTCCACGACTCGCACGTTCCAGTGACTTGTTTGTTTGTTTTGTTGGGTTAGGCCCTTTCGGTCCAATGAGACCATTTCAGAGCCGGGAGGATGATAGGATATAGGGGGAGACATTGGTCTGGGCAGGCACCCTAGTGAGTCGCCGGGGCTGAGCCCGTCCCGAGGACAGGCCACCCAGCCCCAAGGCACTCACTGCACCCGGCTACGGGGTGCGCTCCCTCGGGAGCAGCGGTGCCGCTCCAAGGGAGCAGCCCGCATGAGATAGTTGCCTGTCCAGCCCGGAGGGGAGTTGCGGCGTGGAGGAGAAGGATTTCAGTATCCTGAGGATAGAAGCATGGAACGGTGAGTGACTTGCTGCAGTAGCGTCATCTATACCTCGCCCTTACTGCCGGGAAGGCCGCGAGTTGCGACATCTATACTATGTCTCGGCCTGAAGTATTCATCCGCCACGATGTATTTATTTTTGTCAATCGGTTTGGTCCTTCTGGCCGGATAGGTCGTCAGAATTATCTGAAGGTGCCTGAAATGTCTCGTTAGTGGAAAAAATGTCTCGTTAGTGGAATTCCACTATCTGGCAACTAGCCCTATGTAAACGCGGCTATTGTTAGCGCTGCTGACCGCTAACTCTGGCTCCGCCACGACCGGTAACTTAGAGCATTTAGTGATCAGATAACTTCTTATAATCAGCTTTAGTGCACTGTCTCACGGATAACACCAGTTAGTTATTTCCGGCACAGCGACTATGTGCGGCGATTAAGCCCTGCACATCTTATGAGTGCCGGATTTCTCGGATTTCAAAGACGCGGAGTCGTCATTTCGAGGCGGGGGACACGTGGCCTGTTAGGGCGGCTGGCGACAGGCGCCGCGCTCCGCTAACAGGCGCACTGCCGCGCCCGTCTGGTCGACCGACCTAGCGTGCCGTCAGCGCGCTAGTCCGCACGGTCATTCAGAACCCGCATTTTCTTTGGCTGAACATAGTCAAGGAGGATTTGTGTTCAGCAATAAATCATTGTTCAAGTGCTTTTAAGAAACTCAATACTTATGGCGCACTACAGGGGAGCTCCCAGATTCTAAGAAGAGGCAAGGTGAGCATTGATGACGCTGTTCACCGCGTCAAGAATGGTTTTCCCTTAGACAATACCAACCCCCGGCTAACCACAATCATCTCCGGCGCTGGAAATACCTACCGGCGCTGGAGCGGGCGGCGGCGTCGACTGGCTGCGCCCTGCTCCCACTGCGCGCGGGGAGGCGGGTGGCTGGCGCACCCCAGGTAGCGCACGGGTATAGGTCCAGGGCGGGCCGGCCGGCCGGTCGCCAGCTCCGTGTCTGTTCCTTGGCACGCCACCCGGCACTCACCAAGGTCAGGCCGCTCGCGGGGCGGCCACGCCGGGGCGTGTTAGTGCCGGGCCGCGCCGCCGCGCGCCGTCCCCGCCAGTTGGTCGGCCGCCGGCGAGCCCGAGGGTTGTGCGCGCGCGGCTGTCGCCGGGTGGATCTGACAGGTGACAGACATCGTGGTGCCGTGGGACGGAGCCGCAGCTGGGGGCTCGGCGCGTGTGGAGGGTGTCGAGCGCCGCACTGCCGGCGCGCAGGTGACGTCACGGCCACCGCCATGGCGGACTCGGTGCTCATCACCAAGATCGTGGTGCTGGTGCTGTTTTTTACAGTCACCATGCTGTGCGGCCTGCTGCCAGTGATGCTGTTGCGGCTCGCACGTTTTGGCACCAAGCGGTTCCAGACGGGCCGGATGGGTGCGCTGCTGTCCGCGCTGCGCCGGCGCGGTGACCTACTAGTGTCGTGTGTCATGTGTCTGGGCGCCGGCGTGCTGCTGGCAACCATCTTCACACACATGATCGCCGAGTCGCGCGAGGTATTCGCCGAGATCGAGAAGGCGGGCCTGCTCCCCGAGCTGGACCTTCCTCTGAGCGAGCTGTTCCTCTGCGCCGGATTCTTCCTGGTGTTCTTCATCGAAGAAATGGCGCACACCTTCATGAAGCACGGCCGTCGCAGGAAGCACCGCCGCGCCGCCGCCGCCGCCGAGGCCGCCGAGGCTGGTGAGAAGACCAACGACGACCCGTCGACGGGCTCCGAGGAGGAGGAGCACGCTCATGGCGCTGCGGGCCACAGTCACGTGGTGGACATCGGCGGACAGCACGCGTTCCGCGCCTACCTGATCGTGATCGCGCTGTCGGTGCACTCAGTGTTCGAGGGCTTCGCCGCCGCCTTCGAGGACTCGGCGCGCGAGGTGTGGCTCTTCTTCGCGGCCATCATGGCGCACAAGGCGATTGTGTCGTTCTGCATTGGCGAGCAGCTGCTAACCGCAAAGCGCTCGAAGTGTTTCGTGATAACCAACCTGTGCATCTTCTCTATGGCGACGCCGCTGGGCGTCCTGCTCGGTCTGCTGGTGGCCAGCCCCGAGCTGCAGGGCGGCGCTAGTCTGCTGGCCACCGGTATCCTGCAAGGACTCGCCGCCGGCACCATCCTGTACGTCACCTTCTTCGAGCTGCTCGGCCCCGAGCAGCACAAGCCGGGCTCGGGCCTGATCAAGTTCTTCGCTATGCTGCTGGGCTTTGCGCTGATGCTGGTGATCCACCACAGTGCTGGCCACTCGCACTCCCACGGAGGACACGCGCACGCAGTGGGGGCTCACGGTCACGGCCATCACGGTCACGGCGCGATGGCCCACGGTCACGGCCACGGAGCGAGCGGAGACCAGCACAGTGACGTCACCAAGCGCGTGCAGGACGCCATTCACGCCTACGATCACGACTATCAAGGCGACCAGCCTGATCAATCCGAGCACCATGATCATGACCATGATCATAACCATGATCACCACGATCATTCTAAGGAATCTCAGCACAGCGAACATAAGCATAAATCAGGTCACGATCATGATCATGACCATGACCATTCCCAAAAAGCAACTCCCTCTGGCGCTAGTGAGGCTTCTGTCGTTCCGTCTACGGATCGCAAGCATACGGGCAATTCTGGCCATGATCACAGCGATCATTCTAATCATGATCATTCCAGCCATGATTCAAACCACCATAGCCATAACCAAGACAATCCCAGCTCCAATAACAATCACTCAAACGATGGGCATGATCATTCCCATCACGATCATGACCACTCTAGCCCAGTAAATGATCACTCAATTAGCGAAAATTCCGGTCATTCCGACCATCATGACCATTCCGCTGATCATGCTCATTCCGATCAACCCAGCCAGTCAGGCGAAGGTGAAGAGGAACAGTATGACACCACTTACGAGTTGTTCGACTCAGATGGAGCCACGGAGAATCCCGTAGACGTCCGGACGGTTCCCGACGGGACAGCTAAAGATCACCCTAAAGACGAGCTGCATCATTTTCATGCAGACGGTCACGATCATCTGGGTCCGCTGTCAAATGACACTGTTGGCCAAATGCCCGATCATGATCACAGTGATCACACTGGTCACGATCATTTCGACCACGCCCCTAAAAATGTTGATCAAAATCACCCCAAACATGACGGTCACGATCATACAGAGCTCGGCGGTAAAAATGGCACCAGTCACAGCGACACTGACCACCCCGGGCACGCCGCACATGATCACAGTGACCACAGCAGTCACGAGCACCCCAGTCCGACTGATCAGCACCCCGGGCACGCCGCACATGATCACAGTGATCACAGCGGTCACGAGCACCCCGGTCCCGCTGATCAGCACACCGGGCACGCCGCACATGATCACAGTGACCACAGCAGTCACGAGCACTCCGGTCCGGCTGATCAGCACCCCGGGCCGCCTTCAGAGACCACCGACCGGCCTACGTCCGCTGACCTCGCCTGAAGATCCGCCGCGGAATCCGCGAGTCCAAAAAATCCACTGCGGTGGTAACTGTGACGTCGTCCGTCCAAACTGGACAGGGTGAAAAACTGACGAAGGTGGAGGTGCAACTGACAGTCGTGGGCATAAAGTCACGACTGGACATGGACTGACGTGACGGTGTATCAGCGCGTGTCGCGATGCTGAGGGGAGGTTCGAGGTGGTGATCACGGAGTGATGTGCCGCCAGGCAGTGCTTCCTTTTTCGACGCTGAGCTGCAGGGACGTCGAAGGCAAACAGCGCAAGGCGCAGAGTGGTGACTATGGGCCTTACTCGGTGAATATTTTTGGTAAAGTCAGCGGTTCACCCGAAAAAAAGGCCGGAGTAGACGCTGCCAAAGATTAGATCTTTGCCGGAGTTGTTGAGGGCATGCAAGTTTGGTTCGGGTTCTACATGTTCCTAATTAATATGACCATTAAGTTGTGGAATAATGTCACTTGAAGTCATAACTGGGAAGAAAAAAAATGCCCTTTCTACAGCTGAAGAACAACCAAAAACGACTAAACAATCGGCCTGTCTAGCTTAGGAAAAAAGTAAACGTTTCATACGTCCCATGTTTACCAAACTCGACCACAATAAGCACATGCGGATAGCTTAGTTCCAAGCATGTGTGGTAATCTCTGTCACAGATCACGGTTTAGTGTTTCGGCTCGGTGCGCCGTTGGAGCTCAGGAAAAGTGCTGTTAGCACATCAACAAAACAAGGCTCGTTCCGAGAAACGATCGAGCGTCGTTGTGCGATCAAACCTGTTTTTTGGTGCCCTTGATAGTTTGTAAGTCACACATGAATGTGATCTACCTGAACTGGGTGATGAACACGTTGTTGGTGAGCGATGCATTGAGATCTTGTCTTGTGGATGAGAATATGTGTATAATAATCATTGGCACATACATACTACGAAATGTGGGTACGTTGGAACTGAGCTCTGAAAATATTTGATCTGGGATAATTATATATTAACCACTTTTAGGGAATGCTGTTTCGTGTGTATGCTGCAATGATGTACCTAATGCATATGTAGTTAGGTTAGTGCAAAGCGCATAAGCAGTATACATTGTGTCATATCAAAGAGTATTAGGCCACGCATAACCATGTATGCATAACGCAGCAGACGGAGCTTGCAAGTTGCGACTCACTGGCAGCGCTTGATTTTGCAGCTTATGGTTCCATCACATTGCTGTGTGCTCATAAACCATACGCTCATGTGATTTTTATATATCCATTGACGATAACCATTGATGGTAAGCGTTGACATATCTGAAAATAAAAATGTTTTATAACATAACCATTGTATCACATGACTATAGCCCATTATCCTCGAATTATTGCCCATCCCACGTATGCATTATATACCAAGTTAAATGGTTGATACTAACGTTGTTAGATATGTTCAACCAAAACAGTTCTTGAGCTGCAACACTTTTCCCTGCACCACATGACTGCAGCGATATGACACGGCGCGCTCGTGAAACCACTGACGGGAAAGTCTCGATTGATAAAGATAATGTATGCATTAGTTTTACGTATACAATTCATGGCTTGCGTGAACGCAATCTGCAGCGTGATTCAATTCTAGCATTAAAGGGACCCTCCCACCTTAACATTAGATTTGAGTTGAGATAGCCAAAATGGGGTCCCTGGCTCACAATTACCGGTTTCGGCACTTACAACATCGAGAAATGCCTTAAATCGGAAATATTGAATTTCAAAATGGCAGCATTTTGATTCAGAGGGGCTAATGCTTAGGAATACCCCTCTGAATGTGTGACGTCAGCGCAAATATCTAACGATTTTTAAATGTTTGACTAAAACGTTTTGTAGCACGCGGTGGTATATGCTATTTGCGCGCAACATCTGCCGCAAACGCCGCACTTCTAAAATAAAGTCGCTAGAAACAGCGGAGATCCCAAAAAAGTAAACAAAAGTAAAAGTCTAATATCTTGAAAACCGGTGAATATTTTTCGGTGAAATTTGGTAGATATTCGTTTTCGCTCTTTATGAACCAAGCGACATCACTTTCATGCCAATTCATAAACTTTTTTGAAGGTGGGAGGGTCCCTTTAAGTTACACATATAGGGAAGTGGTGCCAACAAATTTGCATTCGGCGCAGGGATGCTCATCGACATCTTTTGATGGCACGCTATTCTAGCAGACTATAAAACATAATTTGCTTTGAAGAGCTGTCGGAAGTCGCTCACAGTCTGTCAATGTGTCATATGGTCCATGAGACCGGGTCATCGGGTCATTTACGCCTATTTTCCCGGCACCATCGCTGGGAAGGACTGGGACGGCACCGGTATCCATCCAGGTCACGGAAAGCCGTAATTATAGGCAGTGCGTCTGTCGTGTCTATGAGCCTAATGATATACAGCCGTGTCAATGTCTATCTCTATCTTTCTCTCCCTCCCTCCCTCCCTCCCTCCCTCCCTCTCTCTCCTCTTAACTCTCTCTCTCTCCTCTCACCCTCTCTCCCTCTCTTTCTCAGTCTCTCTCCCCTTAACTCTCTATCTCTTCTCTCTCTCTCTCTCTCTCTCTCTCTCTCTCTCTCTCTCTCTCTCTCTCTCTCTCTCTCTCTCTCTCTCTCTCTCTCTCTCTCTCTCTCTCTCTCTCTCTCTCTCTCTCTCTCTCTTTTCCCTCTCTCACTCTCTTTTTCTCTTTCAGGGTTGTGCTTGACTCATGAGTCGAGTCAGAAATTTGACTAAACTCTGACTCAAATGAGTCAGATTTGAGTCGAGTTGGATAAAATGTTAAGCTGTTGAGTTGAGTCAGAGTTGAGTCGGACAAAAATATTAAGACGTTGAGTTGAGTCAGAGTTGAGTCAGTAAAATAGCTTTTGACATTGAGTTGAGTCAAACATCCCCCGGCCCCCCGCTTAACAACTTAGCCCTGGCCCTGCTGCTGGATATTTTTTCACCCCCCCCCGCTCAACAACTTTTTTATCTGAGTCAATTTTGAGTCAACTCAGTTGACTCAACAAAAATTGAGTCAAGTTTGAGTCAACTCATATTTTCATTCAGACGCTTGAGTCATGAGTCGAGTCAAGGGAAAAAATCAGCTCCTTGTTTGAGTCAGAGTTGAGTCAGGGCTTTCTGAAGTTGAATGATGAGTTGAGTCGGCAAATTTTTTTGAGTCGAGCACAACCCTGCGTTTCTTTCTCTCCCCTGTTCCTCATTCTGTCCGACTCTCTTTGATCCCATTCGTTTCTATTTTCCACTCCACTCCTCCCACTTGATAAGTTGTTCGTAGAGCGTAACCGTGTCACGTCACGCATTGCACCATCACGGCATTGTCCCGTACCCCCTCGGGGGCGGAATAACGTCACTTACAGCGTCACAAGCCGTCCTTCGTCCCGGTGACTCGAGTCGTAACTCAGAACTCATGACTCACAGCAGAGAGAGCCAGTTACGAGTACCTACCTCCGGGAGTTTCCAAACGAAGCACGCAGGCCATGCCCGGCCACGCGAGTCAATGAATAATAAAATTGCGCCATAGTAATGGGTTGTGATTTAGCAAAAAATAAGAGGATGACTGAATTTTGAACATCAGAGATAAATACACGTCGATTAAAAAATAAAACATATTGCTATCTAGTATCTTGACATAAATAATAAAATGCCGGCCTATAAACATTGTCCATCATGCAGTCATTCATCATCCAATCCCATTACACAACTATATTCGACCGTTCCATGCTTCTATCCTCAGGATACTGAAATCCTTCTCCTCCACACCGCCACCCCCTCCGGGCTGGGCAGGCAACTTTATCTCATGCGGGCTGCTCCCTTGGAGCGGCACCGCTGCTCCCGAGGGAGCGCACCCCGTAGCCGGGTGCATGGAGTGCCTTGGGGCTGGGTGGCCTGTCTTCGGACGGGCTCAGCCCCGGCGACTCACTAGGGTGCCTGCTCAGACCAATGTCTCCCCCTATATCCTATCATCCTCCCGGCTCTGAAATGGTCTTACTGGACCGAAAGGGCCTAACCCAACAAAACAAACACAACTATACGTCCGACCTTGAGTAGGTATGACTTTTTCACATGCGTTCTTTTAGCTCTAGCATGGTAGGTATATTACGTTGGCATACGGTTGCGCGAGACGGATTCGTCGTGTGACTCCAATACAACAATCATAGACGCCTTTTTAAATTTAGGACAACTCATCTAGCCTGTGTCACATCGTAACTTAATTCATGTAAAATGGAAATAATTAGGTATAACAGTGCCAACCAGATAAGCGAATTTACATACGATGAACACAATAGCAGTTTATAAGTCTGATGTCCTAACACCAACCTTCTGCATCAAGGAGGCAGACAGGCTTAGTGACGGAGCTTGCCTGCCCGATCTCCCCTATTTACCGGGCGTTCCGTCCCTCCACAATGCTCCACCCCAGCGGTGACCTCACGGCGGCCCAAGCGTGACAGCCGGAGCGGAAAACAACCCCGTCAGTCGCGCGGGACGCCCACATCCGGCTCAGCCGCTGACGCGCTTCAATAGGTGTGAACCGGTCCAGATTGTGACGATTGTAGATACGGAATTGAAGCAGCAGCGTGAGCTCGGAATTATGTAGTAATGTTGCGATTTTCAATTTGACAGTTCCCGCCGGACCTATAATTTTTTTTTTCATATAGGGGGGACTGGTGGAATCTCCTCGCCGTTTTGCCTCTAATTGAGCTTAGAGCCTCGCGGAAAAAATGAGCATGTGTACCGTTACGAGACGCAGCGACTGGCATCCTCAACCGGCGACCTCTCAGGTCAGGTCAAGCGCCTCAGGATATAAGAGTTCAGTTTTGGTGAATGACGCCAAAAATGCTCATAGTGACGCGATTCTGGTGGCACCATCGTGCTCTTCATGGTCAGATGTTTTGAAAATATATTTTTTCTTTTGCTTTTTTGCTTGGGCTAGGACAGGTAGAGTGTTGACCTCAGGTAAAGGTCATGTCAAAGCCTCTCAGGTCAGCAAGTTGGTCGAATGGGGTTGAGCTGCGTATTATTCGATCTGGCATGTCTTGCTGAGTCCATTGGTAGCTTTCCCAGCTGGCTAGCTCGATTTAATCGGCAGTTATTGACAAAAAAAAACTCCGATGACCCGAGTGATGTCATATGCGATGCCACCCATTTTAGGTCACCAATGCAAAAGCTAAGCAGGGGACGTTGCAAGGAATGTATAAATTCACGACTCCAAGTGATATTCGCAAAGAATGTTGAGTCAGTTGTGGCAAGCTGGGAGTTCTGGCTGCTTTTTCGTTATCAGGAAAATCCCAGGACGGGAGATATTAAATATCCGTTGTATTGTAATGTATTGCATTTACAATCATGAGCGGCGATTTCCATCTGCTAATCATCCGGTGTCTGGACTAAATGCTTCTCATGAGGATTCTGCTGCAGATTGGTCACAAAATCAGGTTTCCTGCCGTACAGTACGACCACCGCGAGCCTAATAACAAGTCGTATGCATAGGCATATTCGCCGGCTAGGCAGACGGCCGGCCGGGCGCGAACGCGCTGGCTGCCCGCGGGCCCGGCCTGACGGGCCGAACCGCCTGATCCCTTCCGCCGCCGCCTGGGAGGGTCGCGTCCGGACCCGGTCGCGTCCGGACCCGGCCGAGTCCGGACCCTTGTTTTCGACACCGGCCAGTGGAATGTGTCCGCTCGGGCGTCTCGTCCCAGGTGTGTGTACAGACAGGCCAAGCCTGGCTATTTTGGTAACCGTTCCGCGCTTCTTGACGCGCCCTTCCTTTGCTTTTTGCCGTTTGCTCCCTGGTAGTCCATCTGCGCTGTCATTCAGGCTCCCATTTCCGGCATAGCTAAGCCGACGTCAATAGGTTTCTCGTTCATTCGTAGCATTGTTTTCCTGAGGAAGGATCAATCCATCTGCATCCTTTACTCACATTGTCACACTACTCAGTCCTTGCTGACGCTCATTGCCCCCCCCCCCATTCCCCAGACAATGCAATTGGGTGGTGAGGGCCAAGGTGAGGGCAAGTTTTTGGCCAGACTATACATGTATATCCTCTCGTATATCCTCTCGAAAGCGACCGTCTGGTTTCCTGGCTGCTGAATTGCGGTCGTCAATTCTTAGGTCAAGTCAAAGGTCAGATCACCATGATCAAAGGTTAAATTTCGCCTTTTAACACTAGTTGCCAAATCGGCGCCTGACTCGGCCACATATAAAACTGCTATTTACCTTTCATGACCTAAAATGACCTCAGGTGGCTGAGGTAATGGGTGCAACTTTCGGTTTAACATCAAATATCAATATTTTACGCCATGTTATAAGGTCCCTATA